CAATCTTCTTTCTACAATTTACATATAAATCCTCCTGGAAACATCAATGAAATTAGATTCATATTTCAGCTACCTTTCTTTGTCTACACACAGAGGCATGTTCCCTGTTCATGTGGATTTGCTTGCATTTGTGTAGGCAGCTTCATGACCACACAAGTCCGCAGGTGTACGGAAAATGAATCATGCAGGGTTGGTGGTTTGAAGTCATTGAAGTCTGTCCTCTTTGCTTGAAATGCAAATGTTTGCCTCCCCAGCTCTTCAATACAAGCCAGCAGGAGGTCCGAGGCAAGCAGACTATGACCCCTTTAAAAGCACATGCTTTGTGCCGGCTGTTCTGGGGTCAGCTGTCTGCTTTAGTGACAGAGCATTAATATTCACCTGATACCTGTCAGATGAAGGGCCTCACATCTGGGGGAAACAACTAAGACAACGCCACCTCACAGACGGATGTGTTTCCTCAGTGAATCGATTTTTCCTTAAAACGCTGTGTTTGACAGAAAAAGTTATTTTTTTTATTCATCTGCTCAGTTCACCACACCTCTAGAGGAAGATCATAGTGACATGGTCAGATTACTGAGGTGACTAAACTGGGAGAAGAGGGAAAAAAGCAGGAGGAGAAATTTGAACACTTCATTTTCTGTTTTTATTAACTGCAATCTGCACACGGGAGTCAGTGTTTCTGTTTGCCAGGTCTCCGTACACTCTCATTAATGCCACAGTTAACCACACAAACACTGCATGCTGAAGCCCCTACAGCACCCTTGACTGCCATCTGCTGCTGAGTTTATCTCCCTGACATGCACTCACCTAAAGGATTATTAGGAACACCATACTAATACTGTGTTTGACCCCCTTTCGCCTTCAGAACTGCCTTAATTCTACGTGGCATTGATTCAACAAGGTGCTGAAAGCATTCTTTAGAAATGTTGGCCCATATTGATAGGATAGCATCTTGCAGTTGATGGAGATTTGTGGGATGCACATCCAGGGCATGAAGCTCCCGTTCCACCACATCCCAAAGATGCTCTATTGGGTTGAGATCTGGTGACTGTGGGGGCCATTTTAGTACAGTCAGCTCATTGTCATGTTCAAGAAACCAATTTGAAATGATTCCAGCTTTGTGACATGGTGCATTATCCTGCTGGAAGTAGCCATCAGAGGATGGGGACATGGTGGCCATAAAGGGATGGACATGGTCAGAAACAATGCTCAGGTAGGCCGTGGCATTTAAACGATGCCCAATTTGCTCTAAGGGGCCTAAACTGTGCCAAGAAAACATCCCGCACACCAATACATCACCACCACCAGCCTGCACAGTGGTAACAAGGCATGATGGATCCATGTTCTCATTCTGTTTACGCCAAATTCTGACTCTACCATCTGAATGTCTCAACAGAAATCGAGAGTCATCAGACCAGGCAACATTTTTCCAGTCTTCAACGGTCCAATTTGGGTGAGCTCTTGCAAACTGTAGCCTCTTTTTCCTATTTGTAGTGGAGATGAGTGGTACCCGGTGGGGTCTTCTGCTGTTGTAGCCCATCCGCCTCAAGGTTGTGTGTGTTGTGGCTTCATAAATGCTTTGCTGCATACCTCGGTTGTAACGAGTGGTTATTTCAGTCAAAGTTGCTCTTCTATCAGCTTGAATTGCATCAGCATTTGAGTCAAAATTGGACGAGAGCATGGACTCAGAATGAGTAGTTTGTGCATAAAAAAATGTCTGTCAAAGCCAACACATGTTGAACGATGTTCAGTTACCAGAAAGTTTTCCCGTTGGATTGGTGTTTATTCTCTTTAGCATGCAGTATGACGTATTTCACTCTGTCCCCTGATCCTTACGATTTCAGCCGAATGAAGGACAAACTTATACTCCCATTCATTTTTTTTTTACTATGCAGGTTAGTCTCTGACAGACTAACACAGTCTCATCCCAAAAAGTCATATAACTGACGTTTTGGGACGTATTTTGACCATACGTCAATATCCGCCTTTTTAGGGCCCCCTTAAACGTCGGTAGATGGCGATCCGGGGCCGTCATACAACTGACGCTTTACCTTTAACGTCAGTTAGGTGACGGGTTAGGTTTAGGTTTAGGTATGGGGTAGAGTTAGGATCCCATAACCTCATCTACCGACGTTTAAGGGGGCCCTAAAAAGGCGAATATTGACGTATGGTCAAAAGACGTCCCAAAACGTCAGTTATATGACGTCTTGAAGGCCACCATTTCTCCCTCTTCTTGAAAGCAATGACACGTTCAAAACATCCGGTATGTGGGTTTTCCAGGAAATGTGTGTACTTGCTGGATCTCTGCTTCTCACAAATACTATATTGCATTGTACACGTTATTTTTTGACAGACATCGATTTTGGGATATTCGAATGATGTGGAAGACTAAAAAAACAGAGGGATCGTAAGGTATAATTATTTATTTTCTTAGCCAACAATTATTCGGTGAAGTGATTGCTGCCGATGAGTGTATTAATAGACAAACTAATTGTTTTGACAGACGTGATAACGTGGTTATCTAAGGGGTTAACTTGATTTTTGGGTAATAATTTAATTCAAAATGTGTTTTGCTTAGTTCATTACTTATTTAATTGTGTTATTTTGTGGCTTAAATAAACCCAGAGACTGGCATGTTTGTCTTGTCAAAAATGTTACATTCATCTGTCACAAATCCATTGACTTTTGAAAATCAAGCTAATATTTTACCAATAAAGGAGTGGTTTTGACGCACAAAGTTGTTTTTATTGTCTATTATAATAAAACACCTTAATGCAAACTAATACCCACACTAGCAGAAGAGCCTCTTTTCAATATTATTAACTTGTCTTTATCTCTAGGTCATGTACCAAGACTGTTCAGGCTGGCAGTTATTAAGCCTCTCATTAAGAAACCACAGTTAGATGCAAATTACAGACCCATTTCAAATCTTCCATTTATGTCTAAAAGAGTCGTGTCCGCCTAATCGTGCTCCTTGCAAAAAATGTTTATTTATGAAAAAATTCAGTCTGGATTCAGGCCCCATTATAGCACAGACACTGTGCTTGTTAAAATGACTTCTAGCTTCTGACCAAGGCTGTATTTCAATACTAGTTTTACTTGATCTTAGTGCTGCGTTCGGCACTATCGATTATACATCTTCTTTGAATGGCATTCAGGGACAGACATTATTGAGGTAGTTTAGATCCCATCAGATCATTTTGTCTTTTTAAATGGGGGAAAAAATCTAAGATAATGTCAGTAAATTATAGATTGCCACAAGGATCTGTGTTAGGCCCTCTGCTGTTTTTATATAAATGCTGGCACTTAGTAATATTATAAGAAAATATGGAATTAATTTCCACTGTTATGCCGATGATACTCAGTCATTTCATCACAACCAGATGAAATCTCTAAATGATCAAAGTTGACAGCGTGAGTTAATGATATAAATTATTGGATGACCTGTACTTTTCTTCTATTTAATTCAGCTACAGTAAGACTGAATTTGGTTATTTGTTGAATCTGGTTTATTATTGAACCAAAAAACCTGTACACAGAATACAATTTGCATCTAGAAAGGATGTACTGTCACTTCATCCTATACAGTTAATGACCTGGCCATTATATTAGACAGCAACTTGTCTTTCGAAAATCATATTTCATATGTTATAAAAATAGCCTTCTTCCACCTCAGAAACATTGCTCCTGAACTAAGCTCCTGAACATGCTATCTGTTTCTGATGCAGAAAAGTTAGTTTATGCCTTAATGACCTCTAGACTAGATTACTGTAATGCATTACTAGCTGGTCGTCCTGCATCCTCAATAAACAAGCTACTATTACTCCAAAACGCAGCTAGAGGTCTTACCAGGTCAAGAAAATATGATTATTTAACCCCAATTTTACATCTCTATACACTGGTTACCTAGTATCAAAAGTTCTGTATCAATTATGAAGTATTACTGACCTATAAGGCTTTAAATGATTTAACTCTTGTATAACTGATCTTCTATACGCCCTTTAAGGTCACAAAACTCTTCTTCTGGTAGTACCTGGAATATCTAAGTCCTAAATATCTAAAGGAGGGAGATCATTTTCACATTTGGCTCCTAAACCCTGCAATAGCCTTCCAGATAATGTTCAGGACTCAGACTCACTCTCCCAGTTTAAATCTAGATTAAAGACACATCTTTTAGCCAAGCATTCACATAATCCATCTCATAACCTTATACTCCAGTTATATCAGATCAAATGCACATTATCTGCTTAATGTTACAAACAGCAGATAACCTAATTACTTTCTATTAGTTTTTCTGTTTTATCGGTATGCCCATCCTGTACATCAACCCCAGTTTGGATCCAGCCTCTTATGAAGACTTCAGATGACCAACACCTGTGAAGATTTACTTCAGGTGAAGCAAACTGAATCAAAATGCATAAATGCTATTTTCCTATATCCAACATGTATTCATTATTTCAATGTTTCTGCCTTAAATTAATACATTGTTAGCTAACTGTGTGATTGCTATTGCTACATTTCTGAAACACATAACTTGGACTACAGTCACCTGATAACAGATCACAAAGACTGCTTTCTGTAAAGCTGCTTTGAAAAAGCGCTATTCAAATAAATGCAAGTTTAATTGAATTTTATAATACAGCCTAGTTCAGTTTAACATTCTGACATTCACTTCTCGCTATGGATTTGTTTTTGGCAGCCCTTTTGACTGCTAGTTTGTTATGGTAGGCGTATCAGGCTATTTTCTGGACGTTTGATACACTGGAGTGTGTCTAGGCTATAGCCTAGGTTAACTATAGTACCAACATTACAAATATTATGAAAGTAAATTTAATAAAAAACACATTTAGCCAAGCATTACTTTACTTTCTACTCACAGTAGGCTATCAACTTCTGAAAACAAGTTATATTCCCTAAATAATGCTAGAACTTAGTAGCCTGACATCTCTCCTCCTCTTCTCTGATCCCAGCAGCATTCCAGCACTCCAGGAGGACGATCAGCGAACCATCGCGTCGCGTCGGGATTCCTGAGGATTACCCGGCGTGCCCCGCGGGAAAGATGGCGCTGAACGGGAGAAGGTGGAGATAAACTTTATCTGAAATCTGGAAGAGCTGATATCCACACCTGCGATCCCCGGTAACACTTCAACACCTCAACGAGAGATACCGGCGAGAGGACGCGGGATCGGCGATCGCTCGTGAGGAGCGGAGATTTTTCAGCGGCCGTTAGCAAGTGTGTGTGTGTGTGTTAGCCAGCGAGGAGAAGAAGAAGGAAAAGCGGGCAAAGTTTATTCAGTTTGAGCAAAAAGTCTTGACTGATCTACACTAAACTCTGGGGTTAACTGCGGAAAATCACCAGTGGCAGGTAAGAAGTTCACGAATGTATACCATCGTAACCTTAGTTCATTTTGTTCATGTATTATCATATTTTCATATATTGTTGATATACGCGGCCAGTCACCGGCGTTAAGATGAACTGATAAACACACCCAGTGCTGTGTTTAATCTCAACATCATATCAGACCTGTGAAATGATAAACATGTCCTCAGGGCACCGATCCATTAGCAGATTAGAGAAGGTTACTAATCTGAAAAGTGTCGATGTCAGGTGTTTTACGCGGATTGTTTATTTGGTGGAGTGTGTCATGGCCATTGGCAGGCGAATAACCCTTCGGCAATGTTGTCTGTGTAATGTGTGTGTCTCTCCTCCATTCACAATGTTCGCGATTTAAATGCACACATATTTAATTCTTTAATGTATTTTGTGTTCTTATCACAGAATATACTGTTATTACTACCAGATCCGGTTGTGCAACCGATCTGTTACGCGGTCTTCTTTAATACTCGACCGTTTAGCTGGTTGATCTATGATGGTGATTATGTCCTAAACCGATGGGGATTAACATTTTATTCACGTGTCCTGACATGAAATAGTGTAACTTCGTGGAATGCCTCTGGGAAGAAAAAACGATGCCGTATTTCGACGGATACTCTTGAGTTTATGCTGAAAAAACTCGTGGAGTCCATCATGGACACAGAACAGGTAATGTCCACGAACGCCTGAGAAGCTGCGGTTATTTACTAACCCTTCGGCTGCCAGGATCCTGATATGTTGTTTGACGATTATACAAATAATTACGACGATAAACGATTTAAATGTCCGTTTTGTTAATGTGGCTTGCTTGTTAATAATACACCGTGTAGGAAGAAGCTTTATGATGACTTTGACGAACCTTTCATTAAAGGCATTGTAAACAAATAAATAATCATATTTTAAGTTATAACAGTTAAAATATTTCTCTCTTTTGTTCACTTGGGTTCTACTTTTAACTCATTTGAATGTCTTTTGCAACACAGCCAACCAAATATGATATTAGAAACGTATTTCTGCCTTAAATGATTTACTTTGTTATTTTAAAGGGATAGTGCACCAAAAATATATTGTAGTTCCAATCTTATAAATGTTTCACAGTGTTTATAAATAAAGATAATAAAATAATCCAAGTCTTCTGAAGAGACACGATCGCGTTATATGATTAGCAAATTTAATTTAGGCTTTTGTTCACACAAACATTAATCAGCAAATATGGTAAACGGAAGCTTAAATGCACGTGCTTGACCCTTTAAGGTAGTTTGACCTATAACCGTCAAAAGACATTTTTCCATTAGATAGTTTAGGATTAAACATTGAAAACAATTGAAACTAGAGAGCTTTGCATTCACATGTAGACTTTAGCATTTAAACCTTTTTTTCGGGCATACAATAATGTGTTAAAAAACAGAGAGCGAAAAGTAACGGAGCAAAACTGTGTTTTTTTTTATGGTGCATGTACGTCTGTAGCATATTTACATGGCAACACAATTGACAATATGTGAATAATTCAATATGGCAGTGCACAATAATTGTGAAATCACAAATCGTAATCTCAAATTCGATTTTTAATCTCTGTATTTTTTGTGAGTAATCTAAATGTGTATTTATCTGTGCCATTTAAGAAATCCAATTGAAGCTCATATATACTTATTTAATAAAAGAAATAAATGGTTTATTTTGTTGAGCATCTTTTCTGACTTGAATTTGTATGCAGTTAAAAGTTACCTTGCAACTGGATCTCCAGTAAAGGAAGTCTTTAGGGGTCATGTGTATGCTATAATGTTCAGTGTTCCCTACTCCACTTTTTTGGAAATAGGCTCATTTTACAACTCCCCCAGAGCTAAACAGTCAAGTTTTACCGTTTTCGAATCTATTGAGCCGATTTTCTGATATTTAGAAGATTTAGAATTAGAATTAATAGATTAGATTATAGATTAGATTATATTATAGATTAGAATAGATTATATTTAGAATTATTTCAGTAACCAGACAGTTTCTGGTCTCATTGACTTCCATAGTATATTTTTTTTCTACTATAGAAGTCAATGAGACCAGAAACTGTCTGGTTACTGATATTCTTCTAAATATCAGAAAATCGTCTGAATGCATTCGAAAACGATAAAACTCAAAATGAGTAAAATGTATAATGAGCCTATTTCCAAAAAAAGTGGAGTATCCCTTTAAATCATCTGCAGTTTCTAATGTAATGCACAGACCTATTTCAGCTGTAGTGTTGCTGTAAGGCGGGAGCATCTCTAATCCAGCTCTGTATAAAGTAGATCAGCATCCTAATGTCATTGACTTCTCTGGCACTGTCTCAAACCTTGTGAGCTGCCTAGTGCCTACCTAGACAGCATGTTTCGGGCAGTGTAGGGTTGTGTCTTGGCAATTCATCGCTGGGGATACTGTGCACAGAAGTGAATGGACAAGACTCTTCTTTTTGCAAAGTACCTCAGAGAGTACATTTGGTCCTCTTTTTGTTAGGCACTAGGCAGCTCACTAGTGTGAGAAGAAGAGTCTGTGTTGGAAGCCTCTCAGGGGAGGTTGAATAAACTGCAGTGTTTCAGTGTGTAATGCTTGCTTGATATGACAGCCTAGCTGCTCCCAAACCAACTCCCTTTTTTATTGAGTGCACTTACAGTGAGTTTATAAGTCACAAATGCCTCAGCCATTACTTACAGATGAGTTATGTCGATAAACAATTAGTAAAGTGCCGTTTGTTAAGCGCTGAATATGTTGCTGATGAGGGCTTAATGTTTGGTCTTTTATTGGTATTGTACAATTTACTAATTTCAATGGAAATAAGTAATTCAGTTTAATGCTAATTTCAGCTAGGCTAGTCAAGTAACTGATTATTGGCGTAATGGCTCCAAAATATAAATGTTGGTGTTGTTACAAATGTAGTGTTGTGTCAATACTAGAATTTCTAACTTCAATACGATACCTTGAAAAATATCGATATTCGATACCACCGAGAAAAAAACTGCCACAATATTAAGGGGGAATTTTTTTTATTTAAAGCTAAATATAACAAGTCTAGAACATGACAATGAGGTATATTTTAAATGAACAAAACTGTCCTGAGTAATATTTGTTAATATTTTTTAATTGGACCAGAGCTAACATGATCCGTTGTATTTTTACCTACTGTTATCAAAGATTTAAATATACTGTAACATAAAATAACTTAACAGTATCAAATTGGTGGATAGAGTGTCATGTATAATAATAAGATTAAACATTCAATTTTCAGTTAAAGGCATTTCATTATTGAATTCAGAGATGCCATTGTCTGTTTAGTTTAATTAGTATCTGTGTAATCAAATTGATGATAATCGCTAATGAAGGCAAATTTCAGAATTAAATAATAAAGTTAAATAGGCACAAGCTAATTTACATTTGACCACAGTTACAATATTTACTTGTCTAAGATTCCTCAGTCAGATTATGTTAACTTTATGAAAACGGTGAAAAAACTAGACAACACAGACTCATATCAACAACAATACGCCATCTTGGTTAATGTTTCAGAAAAGTTCAAATGAAAAGAGTTAGTGTTTCCTTTAGGATTTTAATTGGCAGTGGGGGCAGGTCTGTTCAAACAACAAACACCCCTGATGCTGAGCATATATGCAGCTAAATGTTACCCCTGGAGCCTGTTCCTTAAGTCTGTTTTCACCTCTAAAATAATTTCGATCTTGCGGTGTATCCGTGCTACTCTCCGACATGCCCGATTGCGTTGTGTTTTAAATGCGTGTCCGTGCTAATCTCTGACATTCCCTTCACTTTTGCTATTTAACCAGAGTGAATGAGACGAGTGCGTCACGTGTGGTGTTTGTCAACGCGCCTTTGAAGAGAAGTGAAAGTGACCGCTTCGATATTATCGATACTTCGGGGAATTAGTATTGGTACCGTTCAGATATTTCAGTATCGATATTTATCGAAATATCGATATTTTTGACAACGCTATTACAATGTGTGATGCAACGAAAATATTTTTTTGACTGAAACTTAGTTTTCATTTAGCCGAAAATGAATACAAATAATTAGGGCTGTCAAACGATTAATCGCAATTAATCGCATCCAAAATAACAGTTTGTGTTTACATAATATATGTGGGTGCACTGTGTATAATTATTTTGTATATATAAATACACACACATGCATGTATATTTAAGAAAAAAAATTGCGATTAATCGTTTGAGAGCCCTATAATAGAACTTGCAATAGAAGTTGCCAACACTATCTTACGACCAATTGGTATGAATTCGTACGTACGAGTGATTTAAAAAGTGGCTAATTCGTACTAATTCATACAACCTCACTCGTACGAATTTGCACGATTTGTCTAAACTTGCGTGATGGGTAGGTTCAGAGGCGGGGTCAGGGGTAGGTCATTCGTACAAATTCATATGAATTAGCCACCTCGTAAAATTCGTACAAATTCGTATGAGTGATTTAAAAAGTGGCTAATTCGTACAAATTCATACGACCTCACTTGTACAAATTCGTACGATTTTTCTAAACCCACGTGATGGGTAGGTTTAGGGGCGCGGTCAGGGGTAGGTCATTCGTACAAATTCATACGAATTAGCCACCTCGTAAAATTCGTACGAATTCATATGAGTGATTTAAAAAGTGGCTAATTCGAACTAATTCATACGACCTCACTCTTACAAATTCGTACGATTTGTCTAAACCCACGTGATGGGTAGGTTCAGAGGCGGGGTCAGGGGTAGGTCATTCGTACAAATTCATACGAATTAGCCAGCTCGTAAAATTAGTACGAATTTGTATGAGTGATTTCAAAAGTGGCTAATTCGTACTAATTCATACGACCTCACTCTTACGAATTTGTACGATTTGTCTAAACCCACGTGATGGGTAGGTTCAGGGGCGGGGTCAGGGGTAGGTCATTCGTACAAATTCATACGAATTAGCCAGCTCGTAAAATTAGTACGAATTTGTATGAGTGATTTCAAAAGTGGCTA